GAGTCAGTTTCTAGTGAAACCTCTTTTCCTGGCTGCCTTCCTTTCGTCGGCGGCGTGTGCTCAGGGAAAGAGAGAGAGAATGAGATCTCTGGGGTCTCTTCTTGTAAGAACACTAATCCTATCAGATGAAGCCCCCACCTTTATGACCTCATTTAGCTTAATTCCTCCCAGAGAGTCCCCAGCTCCAAACACTGCCACACGGCAGGGTGGGGGCGGGGGGCAATTCAGTCCAGGATACGGAAGGTACCTCTGATTTTGTCTTCTTTTTCCATGCATCACACATAATCTTTATGTTCCAGCACAGATTTCGTAGCCATCTTCCAGCTGTGTCATCTTCATATATTCTTCTTGCTAAAAGTTTGGGTAAATTCAGGGAAGGTATAGTGAAGAAAATTTAAAATAACCTAGGTATAATCACTATTAAATTTTAGTGCATTCTCTTTCAGTATTTTTCAATGCATTTCTATATATTATTTATAGAATATATATTTACAGAATGGATTAAATAAATTTAACAGCCAGCTTGTGTCTCTTAGCATTGTATCCTAAGTATTTCTTCAGTGTCTTTAAAAATTATTTGACCTCATGTTTTAACAACTGCCTAATATAAGATGACAGTAACAATTTCTTTAGTCAACTGATTGTAGTTGCTTCCAGTTTTTCACTATTATAAATAGTATTTTAAGTCATATTATGGCTTACAAACATTTGTGTGCATTTCATATTTATTTTAGGTGAGGTTGCTGCCATATCAAGTAAATACTTGATGCTGTTATGATATTGCCAAATCATTTTATAGAGTCTCAACGATTATTCATCATTGAAAAAAATACTATTTGAAAAAATAGAAATAAGCATAGCACAAAGAATTTTATTCAATCACCTAAAATAGCCATTGTTAAAATTTCAAAAAATAGGGCACCTGGGTGGCTCAGTGGGTTAAGCGTCTGCTTTCTGCTTAAGTCATGATCCTGGGGTCCTGGGATCGAGCCCCACGTTGGGCTCCCTGCTCAGCGGGGAGCCTGCTTCTCCCTCTCCCTCTGCTGCTCCCCCTGCTTGTGCTGTCTCTCTCTCTCTGTCAAATGAATTTTTAAAAATCTTAAAGTTTTTTTCCAAAAATAAATAGAATTATTTTAAATCTTATTTTTCATTAAAATAGTTGTGAATTTTTTCATGACATTATTACTCTTCCATAATATTTTAAAGACTGCATTGTGTTCTATTGTGTGCACACATCATAATTTAATTAGCCAATACCTTATTTTTGAATTTTTGTTTCCTTATTATAAGTAAGACAGAATTAAACATTCTTAGATAAGTCTCTAAGTACATCCCAAATGCAGAGTTTTGTAGCAAAGTGTTTATGTGTGTTTAATGATTTTAGCATCTACCATTAAATGGTACTCTAAAAGTTGGTGCTGATTTATATTTTCATCAACAGTGTTAAAAGTACTTTCACTGGTGGCGGGTGGGTAACAGGTAATCATTTTACATTTAATACGTGGAGAATTGTCTTTCAGTTGGATGTCTATCTTTATTTAGAAGTCAGTTTGTATATTTTTCATCTGTTTATTGGCCAGTTTTATTTTTTTTATTAATTACCTGTTAGTGTTCTTTGACCATTTTTCTGTTGGAAATATCCATCATTCTCTTGTTGATTTGTAGAATCTTCCTTTATATTCAAGCAGCATCTCTTAAACTGTATTCCATAGAGAATTAATGTCCCATGAAATGATAATAAATGTTCTGCTAATATTGAAAAAAAAATTGATGCTGGAGATAGGGTTTATGAAAACATGTTTTTAAAATTTAAATTAAAGAATTATTTTTAGGTGTTGTATATGTAAGAAAAACATTAAACAAATAGAAGTAGTGGTTATTATTTGATACCTATTTTTGAGATAAAATCAGTTATAACTGAGAATGTCAAGAAGTGGCATGAGAAAATACCTAACGTCTATACATTCAGGGTTGCACTGATCATTCACCGAGCCTCACCTGTTTGTCACCTACTCAGTGGTCATGAGAACATCACGTATCTTATCATGTCAGTGTGTATTTGTGATATATTTAATGTTACATAGAAATTATGAATCACATTTTAACTCTTTTTGCATCAATTAATTTGCCTTTGAGGCTACCTATTCTTATGTACTTCTTATTGTCATTTGTCAAAATATTCCTTGCTGATCTCAATATACTTACAGCTAAACTTTAGAATAAAATTGTTGGGATTGCCTCCCAAAATTCCCATTGGATTTTTACAGTAATTGCAATAATTACATTGATTTATTTGGAGAGAACTTATCTCTGTACAAGATGAAACTTTCCCATTCAGCAACCTGGTACTTCCCTCTAATTTTTCAAGTCTTATTTTAGCTCACTCTAAAAGTCTTAATTTTTAAAATAAAGTTATATGACTTTTATACCTATATAAGTTTTTTTTTATTACTAGGAAGTTGTCAACTAATATGGTTGGGCTTTCTTCTACTGTCTTGTTATTCTTTTGTTTTTTAATTTTCCTTGATGTTTCCTGTAATAATGTTTTTTCCATATGCTTGTTTTTGTAACTACATTGTTAAATTTTCTAAAAATGTTTGAGCCTGTTTGTCAATATCAATCATTAAAATATTCGTTAACTTCTTCCTATAAAACTTGTGAAATTTGCCATATTGCCTCCTTTCTCTCCTTCCATCTTACTTCTTTTCTTGGTGTAAGCAGAGATTTTAGATCTAGATTCTGAGTATTACTACATTTACATTATGATGCTTTTGAAGAACACTTTTTAACATTTGCATTGTCTGTTTTCTACCATTTCTTTTACAGTGAGTCTTATTTATTCTTGAGTTCTTTATTTTGATTCACTTATTTAATCAAAATATTTTTATTTTGGGGGGGTACCTGGATGGCTCAATTGGTTAAGCATCTGACTCTTGGTTTCAGTTCAGGACATGAGCTCAGGGTCGTGTGATCGAGCCCTGCATCTGGCTCTGCACCGGGCACGTGGAGCCTGCTTGGGATTCATTCTCTCCCAAGCCCTCTGCCGCTGCCCCCACTCGCGAACGCACTCTCCCTCTCTCTCAAATAAATAAACCTTTAAAATATATTTTTTAATTTTTAAAAGAGAGATACGGTTTTGGTTGTTTCAAAATATATGCATTTCTGATTATTTCTTTCTGAGGCTCTCACAGTAGAGAGCAGATTCTCAGATCCCATTCCTTTCCTTTCAACCTTCTGAAATTTAGTGTTGCAGTGAAGAAATTTGACCTTTCATGTTACTTGATAAATACTTATGGGAATTTTCTTTTCGTTTTTTCAAAAATACAACAAAACCTGTCTAGGTGTGAGTTTCCTCACTAATTTGCCAGCCATTCAGTTAACCGTTTGCTCTGAATATTCAAGCCTTTCATCATCTGGTGGAAGTTGTTTTCCGTGATATTTCTGATTATTATTTCTCTTCTGTCTGCTTGGTCTTCTCTTTCTAGAATTCCTAGTATATACGTATTTTGAATTTCTGATAGTTCTCTTCAAAGTCCATCTCTTCTCTTCTCATAAATCTTCTCTAAGTTAGGGGAGAACATCTATAACTTGCAATTTCCTTCAACAATCTGTAGTTTGCTGCTTCTGTTTCAGGCTCCTGTTTCTCATCTCTATAACATCTTTCTTGGGCTGCATTTTCTGCACAGTGCTCTATTCATGTCCTCTCTAGCTTTATAGATTCAAACTCTTCCTGCATCTTGATGAGAACATTTATTTGAAATCTTCTATGGTATTATCCTTTTGCTTCAGTAATAAGAGACAATTGATTGCTAAGATTTGTCCCCTTCTCTTGAACTGCTCTATCTTTGCAGCAGTTTTCCACAAGATATGTGCTGGTCTGCTTGTATGAGTTCAGAGGAGTCTGAAAATTGTTGAGATCCCCATTCAAACATTTTAGCCCAAAGAAATGGATGTCCTGTGGTTTTCTTATGCATAGAAGCCAATGGAAAATAACAAACAAGCTATAGCAGGGGTGGTTACAGCAGGGAGCGGCACCTCTGTACCTGTGAGTTTTGTCCACATCTTTGTTACAAGAGCCCAGATGCCTCCAGGCAGTGTCCCAAGTCCAAGATTGCCCTCATAAAGAGCAGCCACAGCAGTGTCCTCTGTTTACTTAGCTTGTCTAGTCACATCAAATGTAATAATAACAATGATAATAGCTGGCATTTTTGAGTGCTTATAATATGCCAGCCACTGTTCTGACCTATCTAGGTGTAAATTGGGTATAAATACTGAAGAAAGACTCCTATTACTTGTGGTCTCTTCTTCTAGGATGTTTCCCAGAAAATTTACTGAGAATGAGATTTGATCCCCCAGCCAACCAAGGCTAGCTAAAGTGACCATATAATGTATCATCTAAACTGAGATGCTTTTGAAAGCAAAAAAAGGCGATTAATAACAAGACAATAGGGCACCCTGGGGCTGTCCCAGGTGAACTGAAATATATGGTCACTGAAATCATAGCATACACTTGCTTCCAAACTTTGTTGCTCTCAGCTAGATTCAATGCGTGCTCAAATTGTCCTCTTAACCAGGGGGTCCTCAACCACCATTTGTACTGGCTGCTTAATAATCTGTCTGTTTACCAATGTTTATTCATTTCCTTATTGATGGGCAATTAGATTGCTTCCAATTTGCATCTATTAAATATAATACTGAAATGAACATCTTTATGTATAAACTATATTTTTAATTTAGATTTTTCCTTTGGATTACAGGTCAGAATTAAAATTATGTCGTAAGCGCCTTTTCTTTCTCTTCCTCTATATCTTTCTCTTTCTTTTCCCTTTCCTTTCTCTTTCCTTTCCTTTTTCTAAAAGTCATTATAGAAACTGCTTGTATTATCTTACTGGTTCCCTCATTAGTTAGTAGGTTAACTAAAAAATCTTTGATACATGTATTTATATAAGGTATTTATATAAGAATCATGACTTTACTTCTTTTTAATTATCCTTTAACAGCTTGGACTTCATCCACCAAGACAGAATCATGCATCCCTGACAGAGCCAGGTAAGCTGCATTGCCAGAGAGGTTCACTTACTGGGAGGAGCAGGGGGTTTGGGGTGAGGGGTGGCTTAAGACTAGGCACATCTTTTCTTGGCTTCCAGAAATAATTCTCAAGTGGTAATAGACTTGAACTTTTCTGTCTCTGTGTTTCTGTAGTTTTTTTTCCCTTCTCTCTGTCCTCTAATTTTGCATTTGGATTTTGTTTCTTATTCACACATGAGGAATAAATTATGGTGGCAGCAATAATTTGGTTTTATTGTCTGACTATTTGGTAATATAGGTGAATGGATTAATAGACTATAGAGGTCTATTCTCTACTGGATGAAAGAATAGAAAATCTAAGTTGTTAGCCTTTTTTGTTTATCTACTTGTCTATTTTGAGCTCAAATTAGTTAGAATTTCATGCTCATGAGGAGAGTGAACAGCTCTGTGATATCCGGACCTGTGAGTTTTTGTGTTGCTATCTTACTACTAACCTTTTAAGAAAGTTGTAGAACTGAAAATATACGCTCTCTATACATATGTGTGTGTATGTGTCTATAATTCAGAAAGTCCTTTACCTTTCATAGTGTGAATGTAAAATGTTTTCCTAACGCTATAATAATTTAGATTATAAAGTCTCTTAAAAGGAACTCTGTTCTGATTGGATTATAGAGATGAATAAGATTCTATAAATCAAATATTCCTAAAATTTCCTGAAAAATAAGGAAACCGAACTCTGAATATATTAAGTATGCTAAACATAAAAGCTACTACAGGGGGCAAAGCACAGTAGGTGGGGTGAGGGAAATCCTGGAGGCTGAGAGGGTGTCCCTTTGGGGATGAAGGATAGCAGCAGGGACTGGAAATTCACACAAGTGGGATAATCAGATAAGTAAATATCCTAACAATGATGGAAGTCAAATTTCTCATTGTCAAAGAAAAAAATTACTGAAAAGAAAACTACAAGAAACCATGTGGTGTCAGATTCAAATTGAAAGTATCAGTTTGTATTCATGGTTGAATATGTAGATATAAACAACTCTGTGCATATCCTATTTATCTATAGATATAAAGAGACACTCATTCTCTAGCTCTGGCCCTGAGGAGGGCTGGGAGTCATGACTTCCAGTGTCGCTGTGCAATGAGCACATCTAACTTCCAGATTTTGGCTTCTAAATACCATTCTCTGCTAACGGGACCCAAGGCTCCTTGGAGAAATAGAAGATTCCAGTGCTGGAGCAGGGAAAGTACAAGATGAGCCTGAAACATCCTGTGCCAGAAAGAAGAGAAGTGCTTAAAGAATAAGAGGAGCATGTCAACACAACACAAAAACCAACCTGAAGGAGTTCCCACTAGCAAAATCTTGGACAGTTTGAGCAGCAAAATAAATAATGAGGTAACAGATGAAAGCCCATTGAAAAAAACAAGAATAAAGGAGTTCATGCTAATCTAAAAAAACAAATGATATAAATAAATAAACAAATATTTTACTGAGGTATAAGATGTTTATATCATCTCAAAGTTACTTCTTACCTGATAGATACTAATTGCAAAGGGAAAAAGAATAACTTTGCAGTAGAGAAACCTGGTAGATGATACCTCAATGAAGTGATTACAGTTAATATAACCAGTAATGAGACGAATCAAAATTATGTGCCACCTGAGAGGATTCAATGAGAACACACCATCACTTCTGTGATCTTCTTACCAAAGTCATGTAACCTGAATCAAACTGTAAAGGAACATCAGACTAATCCAAATTAATAATGGGTCTGTAACCTTCAAAAGTGACATGACCATGAAAAACAAGGGCAGAAGGGGGAACTGTTCCTTATTGGAGGAGACTAAAGGGCCATGACAGCTAAAAGCAAAGTGTCATTCAGAATTGGGTCCTTTTACTATGAAGACATTATTGAAACAATTGGCAAAAGTTGAATAGAGTGTGAAGACAAAATGGGAGTGATGTATCAATGTTAATTTCCTCATTTTTATGTCGTATTGTGGTTATGGAGGAGAATCTATCCATTTGTAGGAAATCCACTTGGAAATATTCAAGGATGATGAGGGTATCATATCAGCAACCTACTCTCAAGTGGTGCAGGAAAAGTTCTTTGTATTCCAGTTCCAATTTCTGAAAGTTTGATATTGTTTGAAACTAACAGAAAAAAGAAAAAAATTTTTTTACACAATAAAAAGGTGGGAACATTTTAATGATTCTTTTTTTTTTTTAATATTTTATTTATTTGAGAGAGAGAGACGCCGCGAGAGAGGGAACACAAGCAGGGGGAGTGGGAGAGGGAGAAGCAGGCTCCCCACAGAGCAGGGAGCCCGATGAGGGGCTCGATCCCAGGAACCTGGGATCATAACCTGAGCCGAAGGCAGGTGCTTAACCAACTGAGCCCCCCGGGCTCCCCCATTTTAATGATTCTTGATACAAATTGCTAAGTTGCTTTCCAAAAGGGTTGTACCTCATCTTATAACTATGCCATTCCATTTTTCCCTATTAAATTTTTGTCAGGTAAGCCAGGCACTAGAGGCATTCAAAGACCTTATTTTCAGTCCTACCTGTCACACTTTATAACAGAAGTGCTGATTTTCATGAACTCACTTATTATCTCCATGTGGGAGTAATCACTCATTGTATCATTAGCTGATAATGACTAGATGAGTTGATTGAGCTGTAAATGACTATGGTTAGAGATTGCAGCTCTAGCTGATTAGATAAATATGCCACATATTTCATTTTGATCATATCAATTTCACTATCATTTGACTGAAATGTCTTCCTTCAACCTAAAGTTCTCATTAAGGCATGGTAATTTCTCTGAAATATGACTGTATGCATGACTTCTATCAGCCAAAACCAATAGTTACAAAAAAGGAAGGTTATTTTACATTTTAGCAACTGTCTAGCTATATGATTTTATGCAACTCCTGAAATCTGGAGATCCTTGTTAGAAAGTGAGTTATATCTTTATTGTGCTCAGAGTAGTATACATGTGTGGTAGGGCAGAGAGACGAGGGCTTATTTAATTGTATCTTGTCTAGTTTAAGAATTTAGGTGGAGAGATTTGGGGGTTTCTTCCCCAGTAAGTCCTAAATAATGGCTCTCCTTGGCACCTGGTGTCAGGCGTCATTTAGACGTTGTAGCCAAGTGCTTCACAAAGTGTAAAGTGCACATGAAACTTGTTAATATGTAGATGGGTATAGTAGGTCTGTGGTGGGACCAGAAAGTCTGCATTTCTAACAAGATCCCAGGAGATACCAATGCTGCAGTGCACAAACTACGCCCCAGTGAAAGCAGAGCCCTGGCAGACAGCTTACTTGGGCTGTTTTGTCAAGAATGGACCTCAGAGGTTGTGTGTGAGGAGAGACTTGGTACTCAGGCAGATCTGCTTCCCTCTGGAGGCCTGGCTCATCTACCTGCTCTAGAGCAGCTTTCCTCTAGCCGCCAGCTGGGTAGACCATGACAGATGACCACAGTGAGCAATTTTATTGGGCCAAGATTGTGTACTTCAGAAAACAGACAACAATTTGACTGTTGTTGTCCACATGGTGCTACGGTCTTTATTGGAATGTGGCCCAGATCTCTTTTTTTTCCTCCTGAAATTCCTTGGACAACCCTGGGGAAAACAAGTCCTTGTCATCCCTTAGAAAGGAAGGAAAAAGGGAAAATGAGCTCTCATGAGCTGCCTTGGATTCCTGCAGGTAAATAGGAATCTTGTCTGGTCTGGTGAGTCACCCATTGACCAGAGGTCTAAGTTTAAGTTCATTCAGTCATCTTCTCTATGTTGAGATAAGGGAAGAGGGCCCTGTACAATTTGTTGAGTCTTAGTGAGCCTATTCCATGAATAGTGTGAATTCAGAATTTTTAGGGATGAAGTTTGCTCTGTGGTAAACTGACATGTTAACATTTCAAAGGCATGATAAGTCAGCACTTTCTACTTCAAGTAGTCTCTTAACCTCGGGAAACTAGGTAATACCATCCCCATTATATTGAGCTGGAAATTGAGGCTCTACGATGTTAATTAACTTACCCCAGGTCACATGTCTAATAAAAGCAATGGAGGTGGGATTTGAATTCACCTGTATGACTTCAAAGCTCAATGGCCTTCTAGAATGCGAGGCTTTTCTAAGAATATTTGTGTAAAAGAAGTATTCTAGTTTAAATCAGAGGGAAATTGGTGATATGCTGGGGGTTTGTTGCTAAACCAAGAGTATGCAACTATTAATTGATGAAGAAAGAATTCCAACCCAGGTCTAATCAACTGCACAGGCTTTGCATGACACCCACTTCCTCTAATGATCCAAGAATCATGCTGCTAACAGCAGCAGTAACATGATTATCACATTATATTGTATAAACTTTAAAGTTCTCAGAGTTGTTATTTGGTTCCCCAATATTCCCAAGAGGTGAGTAGGGCAAACTTTGCTTGCAGTTCACAAGTTAGGAAACCAGCCTTTTGAAAGTTAAACTCAAGGGCTCACAACCAGGATGCGGTAGCCCTGAAATCTAGGTCTTGGGCAGCAAATTTCATAAGTCCACAGCCTTCCCTGTCATCAAAAGACCTCAGCATGTTTCTGGAGCATTTTTAAGTGGATATATCCCCAGCTGTGCACAGGGATTTATTTTCATTTTAAAGCAATTATTTAGAAGCTAGTCAAGGCTACGATCTGCTTTTAGACTCCTAAAATAGCAGTAGCTGTCTTAATAGGAATTTATGGACTACCTACAATGCAAAATGCAATACAATACAGCAAAAATGAAAATGATACAGACCCTGCCTTCAAGGTGCTTACAATCTTAGGTGTGCATAGACACAGGCATAACTGACTTTAATAAGATGAAAAACTCACTTGAGTGTATATGTAAAGAAGTAAATACAAAGTGGGGTGAGAATATAAGTAAGGAATATAAACACCCCTTCTGGAAAGAGGAGACCTTTGCAGGTGAATTTTCCATAAAGGACAAGTACCCATTATTTTGGTCCACAGCAATTCAGTTCTTCATTTCTCCTTTC